TCCTGGAGGCCCCGATTCCCACTCTCGGGGTACAGGGAGCACCTGGGAGCGACGGTGGCAGTCGGCAGCAGACTGGAGGTGGGGACAGCTCCGTAAAGACCAGCAGGCCGCCCAGAGGGGTCAGTCACCCCGGAGCAGGAGGCTGGGTGGGGCCCCATGGGAGGGACCGGGGTGCAGAGGAGGCTGCAGTCCTGACGGGGGACACAGGGACTTCGGGGAGAAGGAAACTGGACGGATGGTAACTGTAGTTGGGGAGGGAGCTAGGAGTGAAATTCTTGGTCATATTAGGTTTTGAAAAGATACGAAGTGTCGTCTACCATGTGAAGGCATCTTCCTTCTAAAATGTGCAGAAAACTTGGTCCCTAGTAGAAAAAAATAAGATACAATGTACAGAAGAAAGGAAATTCACTGAATTTAAGAGAGGTTCTCTGGGAACATAGGATTGTCTTCTCTTTTACTCTATTACTTAGATTTTCGTTAATGTTCAATTGCGAATATAATTAAGGAAATCACACTTGGGGAAACCTCTAGGAAAACTCATGCATCCCCTTGAGGAGATGGTTTTCAGGATTTGGACCCTTGACTTGACGTCCTCGTGGCCACAGTGACTGCCGCCAGCCTTGGCCCTCGCTGTGGGACCCTCTCTGAAAGAGACATCTTGGTGCATTTATCAAATCTAGGTCCGTGCCTCGGGTTCTGAATTCCAACAGCTCATTGTAAATTCCTTTTTAAGTTCAACAGAATCTTTTCTCCCAAGAAAACCTGCCAACCAGACCACAGCGTGTGCCGTGGGAGACGTTCTCCTTCAGATATGGCAGGGTGGACAGAGGAACCAGCCCCAACGATGACGGTGGCCCCTTGTTCACTGTCCCTGAGCAGTCAGGCTCCACGGGTGGGGAGGGGCCTGTGATCACCGCCCTCCGCTTGCAGGCGAGGGAGCACGCACAGGGCTTTCCAGTGACTTCCGGGGCCTGCTGGCCATGAGAGGCCGGCCAGGACTGCACCCAGCTCTGAGGTTTCCCCGCCCCGGTACCTGTCCATCCCGCCAGGGTTCAGCCCGCCGCCCAGGGGGCACGGGGCACCACTAAGTGTCTGGGCCACCTTGGGGACGCGGGTCCCCTCAGCCTGAGGCTGGCAGGGGCTGCGTGGCTGAGTGCCCCGGGCACCCCTCTGTGCAGTGGCTGTCACCGCCCACACTGCCTGACCGCCAGCCGCTCACCCTGGAGCCTGCGGCAGACCCCCAGCAGGATGGGCTGCCCTAGGTTCTGCCCTGCTGCCGGTCTGGTTGCCCCGCTGGCTGAGCCCCTCTCTGCCCCGTCCATTCCCGTGCACGCATGTCCATCCACACACGTCCGAGCCCCCGCCAGGTGCCCAGTGCCCTGCCAAGCACCTTGAAGACGCGACAGGATCCGGGCTGCTGGGCCGGCCTGCTCCGCCCTGCCGGCCTGTGCAGCGCTCAGTCTGATCTTGGCCCCTGACCATCCATCGTCCAACCTCCCCTTGGAGCCAGTTATGTAAGTGTTCCCCGAGGCCTGAAAACTTCCACATGGCCCTGCAGCCCAGCCCGCCAGCTGCCCCCGGGACGTCAGCCACGGCCACTTCCCCTGGACGCAGAGCAGCTGTGCAGACGTCAGGAAGGGCCGGCGTGCCCAGTGCAAGCGTTGACCCAGCAGCAGCCCCTGGGTCCCCGTGACCCTGGACACCTGGGCCCACAGTACACACTGCTACCCAGCCCCCCAGGAAGGTGCACAGGTGGCCTCCCCTCCCCTTGAACAATGGCTCTGTCTCTCCCTTCCCTCCCGGACACATCCTTGTGCCCAGGCCACCCTCCCAGCATGTTCAGGGCCTTGTGCGGCTCCAGACCTCCGGCGGCCTCATCAGGAACCCGCGTCCTGCCTGCTCGCACAGGGGCCACCCACAGAGTCCAAGCTCGGGTCCAAGAGCTGCCGGGAGCCTTCGTTTTGCTGTTTGATGCAAGAGTTCAGCTCGTCCTTGGAGAAAGGCCAGCGCTGGTGGCCTGTGCTCCTGTAGGTGATGTGGTCCCCGCAGAATGTCTCCATGTCTGCAGGTGTCCATGTCCCAGTGAGGGAGGGGGAGGCTGGGAGATGCGCAGATGTTGGTGCCACGTCTCAGCCTCTGTGGCCGCCGTGACATCACCACAAGCAGGGGCTTAAGATAACAGAAATGGATCCCTGGTTCTGGAGGCTGTGGTCACCTGCACGTGTCGAGGCTCCGGGAGGTCCCTCCTTCCTCTTTCAGCTGTGGCAGCTCCAGCAGGCCTTGGCTTGTGGCCTCGGGCTCCATCCCTATCTTCTCGTTGCATCTCCTGTTTTCTCCTCTCTGTCCCTTGTAGGGGCACTTGTCATTAGATGTCAGCCCCACCCTCCAGGATGATCTCAAGATTCTTAAATTGGTCACACAAAGGCGGTCACCCGAGGTCTCAGGGCTTAGATGTGGACATGTCTTTGGCAGATGGACCTACTATGTGTCGTGTGATGTGAGGAACGTGGACGTTCATTCTAAAGTCCGTCCACCCTAAAGTCCTTCCACCCTAAAGTCCGTCCACCCAAGGATGATGCCTTGGGCTGGGCAGGCCCCTCTCCCAAGCAGGCAGCTTTGCACCTCGGCCAAGCACAGCTGCCCATCAGCGGTGGACCTTCCACCGGGGTCTGCCTGAGGCCGTCCGCCGTCCTCGCACCCTCGAGGCCGTCCGCCTGTCTCTCTGGACTCTCCGCCAGGCTTCTGCTCTGGTTGCTGCTGCCAGGCCAGCCTGGCCTCTGGCATCTGACTGGACTCACTCTGTCCCTGAGAGCCATCTTGTCCCTGGCTGTAAGTGGCACGGATGGTGGGGACCCCGAACCCCTCTTCAGCTCTTGCTCTCCTGAGTTCCAGGCTGTGGAGCCCACTGGCCGTGGCCATCTCCATGCTCGGCTGCCCAGGGATGAAGCAGCACCTCTCAGCCACGGGCACCCCCACTCCTGACCCAGGGCCTGCAGGAGTGTCCAGGGAGACGCCTCGGTCACCCAGCCCCTGGTGGGGGTTCAAGTCAGAGCTGGCGGCTCCCCAGGCAGAAGGTCACGGCACAGCCCTCCCCTCAGGCAGGGGTCCAGCACTGGGCGCAGCCCTGGGCAGTGCTCAGGGGCGGCTCAGGCAGACTGGCTCAGCAAGGCTGTTAGGAGGACCCCTCTTCTGTCCCTGTACGCGAGGCCCAAAGGCAAGCGCAGAACCTTCCCGTCCAAGGGTGTAAGCGTCACTCCCCCAGGAGATGAGAACCTAGGACTTGAGCGCATTCCCACTAAGGCGCAGGTGCCCCATAGTGGGTCCCCTCCTGGGAGAGCAAGCATGGGCCCCCTGGCCGTGGGGTCCTGGAGGAGGGCCCCTTTACGTCCTCTCAAAAGAGAACTTCCCTCCACTAGGGGGCAGCAGAGCACTGGGGACGGCCGAGGACCGAGTGATCTTGGGGCCACCACAATGTGAACCGACCCCCACCCAAGCAGGGCCTTCCTCCCTCCCTCAGTCCTGCTCCGTCCATGCCCTGGACACGCGCAGGTGGGGGACACAGAGGCACTACACCTGTTATCCAAGAAGGGCTTTGGGGACAGGCCCCTCTCTCCAAGGCCCTGTGTCAGTGCACACGTGCTAAAGGAATACGAACCAGCCACGGCAAGAGCCCGGGACAGGCGTCCCACCAAGCCAGGTTCACATCCCAGGAGGGGTTAGAGAGCAACGTTGGGACAGTGTCCATTCTCCAAAATGAGCACAGTGTGTTCAAGCAGAAGCTCCAAGTCCTCCTCAGGCTGTCCTGGTCACCAGGACAGAGTCCTTGGGAGAGGTCAGCTGTCAGCCCTGTGCACCTTAGAAATGTGACCAAAAGCTCTGTCCCTGTCCCCAGTGCCAATTTAATAATGAGGACACGGTTTTGAGAAAAAGGAAAAAGAAGTTTTACTGCTTTGTTATCAGAGGAGAAACACCGGGGAACCCTGTCCCAAAGGCTGTGACTCTCTCCCTCAGGAGGGACAGGGAGGGGTGTTTTAGAGGAACTTCAAGGGTCACATTCCAGGCGTGCTCTGGTAGGGGCCCAGGGTGCCCTGATGCCAGGGTTCCCTTGTTCCCTGGGAGGTGTCCACGTCCAGATCCTCGCTGACCTCTCCTTCCCGTGGGTGTGCTCAGGGCAGGGGTCAGGGCGATGGGGGCTGCACTCAGAAGGCAGGGACCCCGTTACAGTCAGAACAGTTCAAGTAGCTCCGAGCCTTGGGGTCCCTGCGGGAAGCCACCAGGGCACACTTTGAGCTGGCACGTTGCCCGGGTGCAGATCACGTTTTAAACAAGCTGCTTTAAAATCCACGCTCCCCGAGACACCCCAGACCATTTTTATTGTTGATGGGGACACAGGGCTGCCCGAGAACGTTTCAGTTGTAACCCCCAAGCAAAAACGTTCAGCTGATCCCCTGAGCTGGAGGTCACCTCAGGTCAGGCTCTGCGCTGACCCAGCTGCCGTGGCCAGGCCCCTCGGCACAGCAGAGCTGAGGGCTCCTGCAAACCAGGGGTTTCGAGGGCAGTTTTGCAGCTGGGGTTTGCAGGACGCAGGTGGTCTGCAGACAGCGCAGGGCCCTCGAGGGAGACAAAGCCCGTAAGGTCCACAGGCAGGGGTTGGGCGCTGGCCACTTACTGCTACAGCAGCTCCAGGCCCAGAGAGCCGGACCCTGCTGCAGGCAGCGCCAGGGAGGGCTGCTTCGAGGCCCACCTGGCCGCCTCTTCAGGAGGCTGTGATCCTGTCCTGCTCCAGACACTTGGGGGTGGGGACAGGCCACGGCCCCTCCAGAGGGAACGGCTCCCCCTGTCCTGGAGAGGCGCGAGGAGGGGTGAGTCGCGAGGGAGCAGGCAGGGCTCCTGGAGGAGGAAGGCTGCTGGGTGGCCCCTCCCACCTTGTCACGTCCCTCACCATCGGGCTGGAGGGTGACCCTCAGGCCCACACCCAGTCGCTGGTGGCCTCTGCAGACTCATGGCTCCACCCTGCCACCCCACCTCCCTGTACCCTTGGGCCTTTGCCCAGGCCAGGGGACCAAGCTCCCCCAGGTCCCAGCTCTATGCCCTCAGAAAGTCCCTCCCTCCAGGGCTCAGTGTCCCTGTAGTGGAGGGGGCCTTCCTGGGGCGGTTGGTGCCTCGATCGGGGACTCTGTCCTGTGGCCTGTCCACTCGGGCCTCCAGTGGTCTCCCCTCCTGCCCTGCCCTGCCCTGAACCTTCCAGATGCCCCCTCCCGGCCCAGCGGGCCCTCCCTGCAGACTTGCTGGTCTGGTTGGCTCCCACTGCGGGTCCCCTGCCCGCTCCCTCCCCCGCCTGGACGCGCAGGCTCTTGGTGAGGTGCCCAAAGCCGCGGGTGCCCTTCCCAAGCCCTTGCCCTCGGTTATCTCGCCTGTCTGCACGGCACCTGGAGGCCAGGGGACAGCTGCTCCTTGCACAGGTGAGAAGTGGGGCTCGGAACCCCGGGCGCACGGCCAGCTCCCCCTCCTCAGCCGGTGGGCTTGCAGGACTGAGGACACTGGGCCAAGGGCTCAGGTGGCTCTGCCAACTCTGAAAGGGTGACTTTGGGACGAGGCCTCTGCGGAGCTACGAGAGGCCATGTTTCCTTTGGCCTAGAGGAGCCTGACCCAGGGCTTGGCCACCTCTGCTGGTCCACCACCCTGGCCCGGAGCTAGGCTACCAGCCAAAGCAGGAGGAGCCGGGCTGGCCCCGGACCGGCTCCAGCGGGTCTATCATCCACGTCAGAAAGAGGGAGTGTCCTCAGGGATCTGGGGGCCACCCTCTGGAAGAAGAGCTGGATGTGCAGCCCATGGGTGAGAGGGACTCAGGGTCTCTACGGACGGGTCCTGCAGCAGCCAGAGACCCATGCCCACGACACCTGCCCGGGAGCCCTCCAGCTGTTCCTCATGGCTGAAGGGAGCAGTGCCTGCTAACGTCCCCATTCTGAAGGACACCTGTGGTGCTTAAAGGGGTAGTGCAGCTTGGGAGCCTGGACACAGTGCGGGGCACACAGGGGTCGCTTATTTGTAAAAAGCCCTCGGAAGAGCTCAGGGGAGAGAGAGCGGCACTTACGGCCAGGTGCCCGGAGTCTGGGTGAGGAGGCAGGGCCTGGGGCGCCAGAGGCCTGGGGCGTCAGAGGCCTGGGGCAGCAGAGGTCTTGGGGCGCCAGAGGTCTTGGGGAGACAGAGGCCTGGGGAGGCAGAGGCCTGGGGTGGCAGAGGCCACAGCCAGGGCAGGCGTTCCGGTCCTCAGGGGCTCTGCTGTGGTCCCTGGGGATGGAAGCAGCTCCCACCCACTGCCTGGCCCTTCTGAGGCCTGGTCAGCGTCCTGGTGCTGGCTGGCCTACAGTGCTTGGCTTGGCCCTGGGGCCGACACTGCCCGCCGGCCTGGCCCTGCCCATGCTGACCCTGAGTTGCCTTCTTGGCCCCCAGCCCCTCTCTTCCGGTGGCCACAGGGTGCCCCGATGAACTGGTAGACTTACCAGGGTGGCATGGGGCCCGTCTCTGAGTTTGACCTGGCTGGAGCCATGGCCCAGCCGGCCAGAGGGGGTCGATCTGGACTCTGGCCAAACGAGGAGGCCACTCACCTCGCATCCCACAGAAATGGCAGCCTCTGGGGCCTGACTTCCAGGACCCCTGTGCAGGCCGGAGCAGCCCTGCCGCCTGCAGCCCCTCCCCGCCTACACGGCAAAATGCAAGGTCTCCCCCAGCCCTGCCTCGGCCCTGCCTTGGCCCTGCCGCAGGAGCAGCGGGCTCGCCTGTCCCAGCTCAGCCCTGATTCCTGCGAGTGGCCCAGAAGCCCCTCCAGGCCCAACCCCACGTGCCTGGATCCTGGCTCAGGGAAGCTCTGTTCTCCCACTGACTTCACAGAGTTGGGAAAGGACTTGAGGGCTGTGGAGGGAGGCCTGGCTGGGGCCTGCAAAGCCTGCTTCCTGCAGGGAATCCCATTTCCACTCCCAGATGAAAAGCTGACCCAGTCCTTGAACAAAGGAGCCCTCCTCCCCCTAGTCTTGGTCTGATCTTAACCAGCTGCGTCTGGAGCCTTTCCAGCACAAGCCCATTCATGAATGAGCACAGGGAGGGGGAGGGGGAGGGGGAGGGGGAGGGGGAGGAGGAGGAGGAGGAGGAGGAGGAGGAGGAGGAGGAGGAGGAGGAGGAGGAGGAGGAGGTCCTTTACCTTCAAACCATTTCCCTGGTCCAAGAACAGCCGCCCGGCTGGCCTCCCAGGGCTCCTGGCCCAGTCTCAGCGAGAGCCCTTCACATCCTCTATGTCCCATTTTATAGACAGAAACAGGGCCCAGAAAGGTCAGTCAGTTTGACAGGACACACAGCAGGATTCAACCCCAGGACTCGCCGGGGCAGAGGGGCCTGGTGACTCACTGTGGGACGGCTGAGCTCTTTTTGGAATCAGCATTTATTTTACTCTTCCGTCTTCTTCTGGGTTTTGTTTTTCCAAATCAAAACCAGTTGTTGTTTTCGATCTGGTCGGGCCTGGTAGGCCTGCCCCACGGCTGGAGCCGAGGCCCCTCGGAATAAGTGGAAATGTTTACACAATACTTGTCAGACGTTGCAGCAGGAGATAAATCTTATAGAATAACGCTTAAAAGACGAAATGAATCTGTGTGGGCAGCTGGGTCCAACCCCAGAATTGGTTCCAGCCCTTTTAAAAACAGGAAACATTTCCCCTCTTTATTCATATTTGTTTGTCTCCATTTTTTTTTTCTTGCACAATTTTTCTAGACCTGGATTTCTGCACAGCTGCTAGCGGGCCAGGGAGTCTGCGTACCTCAGTGCCCCAAGAGCCACCGGGGCTCACAGCCATCCCCGTCCAGGCGGTCACCACAGCCAGGCCGGGCTGGGGAGTGTCCTCCACATGCCTTGTGGCTCCCTGGGTCCCCACCCTGGGATTCCAGGGGGACCCTCTGTACTATGTCGCAGGCCATTCTGGCCGCCTGGGCCCCCGTCCCCTTCCTGACAGGGACCTGGACGCAGACCTGGACCCGAGGCCCTGAAGCTGAACGTTGACCCTGCCCCAGGTTTAGACCCCGTGGCGTCATATGGGAATCCTGGGAGGACACCTTACAGCAGGGTCCCTGAGCCCAGGAGGACACTCTGTGTTCCCCTGAGCCGAGGTCTTCGGACAGTGGGGGTCCAGCCATAAAACCTCAACCCCCTGAGTGTCAAGAGCAGCTGTGACATGGCTCAGCGCAGCTTCTCCAGAGCACGGCTCCTGCTGTCCCACCTGCTGGCACCGCAGACACCAAGAGCACGGGGAGGGAGAGCAAGGGAGCCGTCAACCGCGTGTCCACTCCTGGGGACAAGCTCGGAAGAGGCCGTGTATTAGGGTCTCCAGTCACGATCCAGTCACTCTACAGATGCCCTACCCCGCGTCCACCTTGCACGGGGCGGACACCTGCCCGCCGGGGCTGGCCGTGGGCAAGACGGACCATGCGATTGCCAAAGAGACCAGAGCAGGACAGAGTAGAAAAGTGACAAAGGACACTCCTGAGGTATCACCATGGAGGGAGCCGGCTTCACTCCCCATGGGGTGGCCACAGGGCAGGGCGGCGTGGGCAGGGTGGCCACTCCAGAGCCCACCTGGGGCAGTGCGACCAGGAGTTGGGCCAGAGATAAAGGTGTCACCCACTGAGGTGGGTTCTCACTGAGCGGGCGGGAGCGGTTCTCACTAAAGTCAGGAGAGCGCAGAGGACGCCCAGAAGCCCCAAGGTCCAGGCCCCCTCGAGAGGCAGTTTGGGGGAGCCCAGCCCAAGCTTGCTGAGGAGACCCTCCATCATGGCTGTGGAACTGGCCTGGGGACCCACACCAGGCTCTGGCCCAGTTTGGGAAGAGAGAATGTTCTGGGAAAGCTGAAGGGGGGCATCCTGGAGGCAAGGAGCAGAATGTGACCCCCAGACCAGGGCAGCGGAACCACAGGGCCCTGGGCTGGGAGCACAGATCTAGGGAGATGGCCCAGGAGGTTCCAGATCACCCTCTGCAGTCTCCACCCTCTGCAGACAGAGCTCAGTGAGGTCGGCCTCTCAGCTGACGAAGTGCCCACACAAGCCCCTGCCTGTCACGTGACCTACCAGCAGAAGTGCGGGGGCCACTCTCTTCCCCATGTCCCTCATGTGGTGGACGGAGGGCAGTGTCCCACCGCCCAGGAGCAGTCAGTGGAAATTGGGAAACAGGGTAACTTTTTCCAAATGTTCCAGCAAACCCAGGCGCGGCCCGCAGCGGGGTGTTTGGCCTTCGGAAGTCACAAACTGCAGAGGGGGCTCATGGGGTCCTGCGTGTCCACGCAGAGAGCCCGTGGCCCTTGACCCTTCCTTACTGTGGTGTTGGCCTTGGGGACCCACCTGGAGGGACCAGCTGCCCTCAACTAGGTGGCGCCTGTGGGAGACCAGAGGGCGAATTGGCGTTTGTTCCCCACACTCCCTGCCTAAAGGGCCACCCGGGGGGCTGTGTCGTGTCCTGCCCAGCTGCCCCTCCCAGTGACCTCCTGTGCCACCGGAAGCTCCCTATTCTCGGTCTCCAAACTTCCACTTGAAGTCTGGGGACATGAGTCTCAGGCCACAATAGAAACCAGGACCAGGGCATGAGGTCACAGTCAGGCCAGCCCGGTGGTGTTGACAGACACAGTCAGTCGGGGAGGGTCACCGTGCCCCAGAACCCTGGGAGGTGGGTTCAGATGTGAGAACGGCCACACCCTCTGCCGGCCACTGGTGGGCAGGTACTGCTGCTGCCGTCCCAGAAAGCGGCCAGAGGCCCAGTGAAGTGGCCACTTGGCTAGAGCGGCCCTGCTGGTGCCCACCACCCCGGGGCGCTGTCCTGGGTTCGGCTGCAGGCCACGCGGCTCCTCTGACTCTCTGGTATCCCCCGTCTCATTTCTGTCTCTGACCAGTAACAATTCCCAGGGAACCGGCTTCCAGCCCTGGGAGGGGAGAGGGAGGTGACCCAGACACAGGGAGGGGACAGCAGATTCCCATGACCTCCTTTTCTCCCGTGTGAGTACTGCCCCCGGGACCCACCTGGACGGGGTGGCCTTCTTCCCACAGCACTCCCCAACGGACACCGCACCCATCTCCCGCCAGATGGCCACGGAGACAGGCTCTGCCCCTAGAGTGGCAGGGCAGGTGGAGCCGGCCACGTAGGCAGGCTGTTTTCCCCAGAGACACCGCCCAATCTCGCAGTCTGAGTGACTTGGGAAGGACAGTCCCCCAGGGAGCCACAGAGTCCACCACCCAGCACCTGAGTGACTCATCTCTTTCCAGAAGCTTCTGGTAGCCTCTGCTCCTGACCCCAAGGAGGCCCACTGACAAGTACACTAGGGACGGCGGAGCAGACCCTCTGTGTGTGCAGCGCCAGAGACGGGTTTTTGCTGTAGGATATTCACAGCCCCAAAGTGTTCCCCACAAATTATCTTTTATTCACAAAGCGGAAGACAGTGGCTTTTCAGGGGAGAAGGATGATCAGTGATCAAACTGGCATCCACAGGGGGCTGAGCCTGCACCCTGACAGGACACGAGGAGACACGTCACTTCTGCGCTGTCCCTACCCAAGCAGGCCACCCATATCTCAGCTGAGACAAGCCAAACTGAGGGACGCTGGACGGAGTAACTGGCCCATATTCTTCAAAAATGTCAGCAGCACAGATTCTTCCAAGGGAGGAGCAGAGGCGCAGGGCCGCTGAGTCCTGGGATCTGGCCCGACTGTAGAGGGGACGGACAGCTGGCTGGACCACGGGCAGCTGCTGGGCTCGAGTGTGAGCCAGAGCAGATGTGACCTGGAAGTGGAAGGGCTGTAGCAGAGCCGTGGCCCCATTCACTTCCTGTGTGACCTAAGAGCACCCAGGTCCCCGAGTTTCTCCAGCCCCTCAGTCAGTCCCCAGGCCCCGACTTCCTCTCAGGAACAGGAACGGTCTTTGTCATCGGGGCACCCGAGGCTGCTGGCCAGGGAGCGGCCTGGCCTCCCGTGGGGCCTGCGTCTGTTCCTGGAGCTGACTGGCACTGCCCTGGGGACCAGCCGACCGACAGTCGCCTCCTGCCAACGGCTTCCTGGCTGGGGCCTGGGCGGGCAGCTCCGGCTTCTCCTCCCGCGTGTCTAAGTGGGGGCCTGGCCTCTGCTCCCACCCACTCTTAGCTGTCCTTGGCCCACCTGCCATCTGGGGGTGATTCACCACCCGCCAGTCACCTCATTCAACAAGAGGCCTGAGGGAGGCCAGGCTGCAGGCTGGTCCTGGGAGGGACGGGGCCACTGGGCTTGGGCACAGCTGGGCTTGGGCACATCCCCCACTGGGTCACAATGGCACCCCGGGGACAGGACCCCAAAGCCACCAGCACGAAGCTGCACACGCCAGGAGCCCAGTGCAGGTCTGGGTCAGGAGCCACACTGTCCACCCCACAGCTCAGACGGCCCTCCTCAGGGGGCCACAGTGCCCACGGGCAGCGGTGTCCTCCCCTTCCCCTTCCGTCTTCAGGACAGACTCCAGGAAACCCTCTTCTCTCTTTATTGAGGGGGGGGCTCTGCACCAGGCTGCTCCACCAGGCGTTTCCCTTCCCAGGTGTCCATCCGGTGTGAGCCACGGGCACGGTGGGCGACGTGGTGACCCCGTGTCCTTACCCACGGCCCCTTGCCCCCTCCTGCAGGGACTGCCCATGGCTGCTCTGGGTGGCTCTGGGATGGGGACCTGCAGAGTGTAAGGCCCCGCTCCTGCCCAAGGCCGGAAGCTGGCCCTGCAGAGCGGGCCCTGGGTCAGGTGCCCTGGTCAGCTCAAAAGGGCCCTCCTCTGAGCCCTTGAACCATGAATTTTTTACCCTATTGTTTTATTAAATAAATAATGAATGAAATAAAGCTCGTGGACTAACATAAATCATCACAGTTTACATGAATCTGTTATCACCTGGTTGGTGGCCATTTAAGGCACCGTCTCGGGCACAGTGGGGACTCGAACACACAGACCCTCGCGGTTGCTGCGGGGTCTGTCCTGGACCTGTTGGCCCAGGCCCAGCTCCTGCTACTCCAGCCCCAGGCTGCCCCAGGGCCCTGGCTGTGGCTGCCAAGGCTCCCAGGTCCTGGCCCCAGGCCGGCCTCCAGGCCAGCCCCTGCGCTGCTCTAACACGCGAGCCCCAGTCTCAGGGCTGAGGCAGCGACGATCTGCCCCTCTCCTTCTCCAGGCCCACTGCAGGGGAGCAGGGCAGCTCTGCCCACAGTGGACACCCCGCCTGGTCCAGGACAGTTCATCCCCACCACCTCCAAGGCCATCAGGGCTCGCAAGAGCCACAAACTCTAGCCCGGGAGCTGACACAGGTCTCTTGGGCTCAGGCGGGTCACTGCTGTGTGTGGGGCCACGGCCCGGCCAGGATGGGATGGCAAGGGCAGGTCACCAGGGCTCTAAAGGACAGCCAGGAATGTCCAGTGCCCGCACTCGGGGACTGAGCCCCTCCTGCTCGCTGGGGCCGGGCGGGGCCTGGTGGACTCAGATTCCAACCACCAAGGGAGCAGGCGGGCAGCGGGCGCCCTAGCGGTCTTGATATTGAACGGCACCGAGGGGTCTGCGGAGGAGGCAGGACTAGGGAGACCCGCAGCAGACGCAGGGCCACTGAGGTGTTCTGGAAAGCGCCCGCAGGGCTGGCATTTAAGACAGGGCCTGCAGCGTGACTGGGTGCCCTTGGGGTGAAGAGAGGGGCAGACTTCTTAGGAGGGCAGGGCCCTGCCAGTGCCCTGGGGCTCAGGATATGTCCTCTTTCCAGCACTGTGAGAAGGCCAGTGTGGCCAGGGCAGAGTTAGCAGGGTGAGGAGAAGCCGGAAGCTCTGGCCAGGCCCTCCACAGCCTGCAGGCAGGTTTCTGAACCTGGCCAAGGTTCAAGCCGCCGAGGGCGGGGGCCGTCTTCAGAGGCAGTGGTGATGTGGCTTGGACAGTGCCCTCTGGTGGCACTGTGGGGAATGGCACCCTTCTGTGCCTGACCACCTGGGCGTGGTTCTGACCTTATGTGATCCTGACACTGCCCGTCCCACGGATGCCAGGTGGGCACAGCTCATGAGCCAGACTCCCCACAAAGGCAGCCCCAAAGCCTCCATCCTGCAGGAGACATTTGAGACGGCCACCACCAACCACGTTCCCCAGGAGGACCGAGGGGACAGGACGACACTGTGTGGACAGGGCAACACTGTGCGGAGCAGACCCAGACATCAAAAGATCAGCCAGCCTGGGTTTGGCCTGCGGGGTGCCCTGGAGGTTGGCAAGGGCAGGGCGGATCCTGACTACCTTCCCCGACTTGGCGCCATCTCCGACCTCAGCCCCGGCTGTGCGCCTGTGAGGTTCCCTGGACAGGTGACGGCCTCCCAAAGTCCCCCTCCTCACAGAGGGGCGATAAGCCCGACAGCCAGACAAAGGGGTCCAGGGGCTGCCGCGGGTCCTCCCTCGCACACGGTGGCCGGCCTTGCAGGAGGCTGCGGGAGCCTGTCCAAGCCCCGGCAAGTCACAGGTCACGCCCTGCAGCTCCCCAAGGCACAGCCTTCGAGAGAGCCTCCTCTTCACTTCAAACAAGGGGAGTTGAGCCTGCTGGACTTTTCTGGAAAGAAAGCAGAGGGGATTTCGTGCAAACCCCAGCTCCGTCGCTGACTGGCCCAGGGACACCCGTTCCCCCCCCTCCAGCCCTCAGTCTCCTGAGAAGGACCCTCGGGTGGGGGGAGAACCCGCTGTCCTTCTCCCCTGCTCCAGACCCAACGGGAATTCCCCCGGGGAAGACTCGCTCTGAGCCCAGGTGTAAGTCCTGATTTTCTGGTGGAATCAGATAAAGCGAAAGACGCTGGGTGGCAGGCCCGTGGGCGTGTTGGCGCAGAGCCTGCCCCTGCCCCGTGGGAGGAAGCCCGCGAGTCCCGGCTGGAGGGCCCGGCAGCCAGGACCGCCCCCCGCATGCCGGGCGCCGTGACACCAGGTCAGACAGGAGGACAACCCAGCAGCGCCTGCGGGAGAAGCGGTGGTCAGGAGGGGGGTCAGGAGGCCGGGAGACCGGGCCTTTGCCTGGGCCAGGGTGTGGAGCTTCCTAGTCGGGTTGTTTGGCCGACGTGGCCGCCCCCTGGACCTCTTAGAAGAGAGACAAGAACAGCAGGGAGATGGGAAGCACCTGGATGGGCCGGCTCCATGGATCCAAGGCTTCTGGGAAGCGCGGCCTCGGGCGAGCCCAGCCTCCACCTGAGGAGCCCCACCGCAGCCACCTGGGTCAGCGGGCTGCCGCCAGCCGTCCTGGCCCTCACTCCCGGAACTGGGCTTACGGTGCCCGACGTGAAAGGGCCTTGGCGGGTGTGGTAGTGGGCAGGGCAGCCTGCTGTCCAGGAGGCCGCCTGAGTCCCAGTCTTCTAGTGGACAGCCTTTCCCGCCGTGGCCAGAGGAGCTGTGTGTGGGAGGAAGCGTCCGGGAGGCCGGGCCACTGGCCCTGCTGCACCTTGACCTCCGACCCTGGGGACTGGCTTCCCTGAGCTCCTCCCGTGCCCGAGGCCACCCTCATCCCCAGGACCTGCAGCCCTCATTGTACCATGAGGAAACAGAACAACAGACTCGCCGCGAGGGCCTGAGCAGGACAAGACCCAGGGCCGCCGGAGCCGCCTGGCTCAGAGCGCTGGCTCACAGGTAAGGTGGGCGACGGCCGCCTCTCAGGGTGGGTGGGCTGGGCAAGAGTGCTCCAGCCACATAAAACCACTGTAAGGTCAGCCCTGGGCTCCCTGGGCCAGATACACCCCCACCTGGCTCCGTCATGATGAGTAGATGGCCAGGAGGATGTCAGCAGAACTGGGGGCCAGGGCTGATAGCTGTGTGACCTTAGGCCAGTCACTGCACCTCTCTGGAAAGGGTGCAACAACAGCTTGGGGTCGCAGGGCCCTCCAGGGCACCTGCAGCACTGACCTCGAGGAGCAAGTGGGCTGACGGGCTGCTTCCCCAACCAGGGGCCTGCTGTCTAGGTCCCACCGCCTGCCCTGGCCCCAAGGAGAGAGGAGGGGGATCCCCTGCTATGAACCCTGGCTCTCGGTCCCCTCTTGGCTGGGCAGGTTCCTGGAAACGCCTGGGGCTTGGAGCACCCCTGTCCTGGCCCTAAAGTTCTGCACTCCCGCCTGGTGGGCCCCCAGCTGGAGTCTGACCCCGGGCTTGCTGCTCCTTGGAAGGGACACACCGGAGCTTCCAGATGCTGGGCAGGTGGGATGGTAGGGGACCCAGCGGTCCCTGGGCGACCCCCAGTCCGGGGAGGGATTATGCCTTGGCCTGGTCGTTCTCAGGCTTTGCGGGCAGCAGGGGGGGACATGAGGTACCCGTTAATGTGTGTTCTGTGAGGAGATGGTTCCAGCCCTGCCCGGGACGCATGGTTAGAAACAGTGTCTGCGGACGTCACCGGGCTGAGGCGAGGTGCTTCTGGAGTCGGGTGGGCCCTGATTCAGTGATGTCCGCACAAGAAGAGAGAGTTGGACAGGGCTGTGGGATGAGGGAGGCAGAGGCTGGAGTGATGTGTCCCCAGGCCAGGAAGACTGACGATGGCTGGCCGCACCAGAGGCCAGAAGAGAAAAGCTGGGGTCCTCCCCTAGAGCTTACCCTGTGTCAGATGTGTGGCCTCTGGAACTGTGAGCAGGTGGCTTCCTGCTGTTCTGAGCCTCCTCGTTTGACTCAGGCACCTTGACCTGGGCCGTCGCACTGCCCAGCGGTCAAGGAAACAGTGTGTGAGCAGGTGTCCCCAGCACGTCCACACCCAAGACTGGTGTGCGCTCAGTCTCCCTCCTTGTGCTGCCGTGGTCAAGCTGTCCTTTTGTGCAGTGACAGTGGACAGAGCTGGTCATGGAAATTTGTCTGGTCCTCGGTTAGTTCTCAAAAGACTTCTGGGTTTTTATGAAATTCACGTGGGCTTTGGAGTCATGAGAGCTGAGTTCTGGGGCAGGTTCCGTCTCGAGTGCCTTGCGATGCGGTGGAGATGCCCTGGGACCTTCTGTCGTACTGAGGTTCAGGGTGAGGTGGCCCCTGGCCTGTTGTCCAGCGTATCTAGGCCAGTTCGGCCCCCTCCCTCCCTCCCTCCCTCCCTCCCTCGAGTCTGTTCTGAGCACAGGCTGAGCGCCCCAGCTGTCCGGTCTCTCTGGGCAAAGATACTATAAATGAGGAACCAGGAAGCCAAGTCCTCCCATTTGTGCTCCACATGCCGAGACTTGCTTCTGAGACCTGGCCTGGCCTCTCCCAGCAGTCCTGGGCTGGGAGGGACACCTGTGGTTGTCCAGGATAGAAACCCAAGCCAGAGGAGCTGCAGCCAGCCTGGCTGCTCCGTGGGGATCTCCCCAGCAGTGGGAAAAGGATGCAGGCAGCCAGGCTCGTCGGGCCCCCGTGGTAGGAGATAGGGACAGCACCGCCACCTGACAGCCTGCTCTCCCCGCAGGGCTGCTCATCGGCCCACCCTGGTCCCCTGCCTGCCTTTGGGCCTGTTGCAGTGGCCGGTCACACTCCGCAGAAAGCCACAGGAGGCCCTTCCCAGCAAGGCTGCCGGGGATAGAGCACGCTGCCGGGTGACTGTTCTCTGGCAGTGGCCCTTTAGAAGGGGTCAGGACAGACACGTCTCCGTGTCACCCAATCTCCACACTCACAATGCTGAGCCCAGGAGCCATCAGGAAGGAAGAGAGCCACTCTGAGCCTCAGAGACCAACACTGCGCCTGTTGGGGACTCATAGGACCAGTGAGATCAGAGGAGGCACTAACCCCGCCTGGGGCGACCAGGGAAGGCTCCTGGAGGAGGTGATGTCGGAGCCAGGATCTACACGCGAGAAGCAGGCATTTGTTCATCTGGTTAAAGGCAACTAACCCTGTGTGGTGGCCGTGCCTGTGATCCCAGTGACGCAGGAGGC